AGCCACCTCCACTCCCTCAAAGCACAGGCGCATTCATTCCGCTGAGCACACCTGGCTTAAATCAAACCTAAAGTCGATCGGCAGATCGGGCTGGACCATATCAAATCCTACTGCTCTGCCCTCACCTCCACTAAATCGTTGTTCTACTTCATGACAATCTTGGAGGCTAAGGGCAACTCCAGGCTCCTCTTCTCTATCACGAACCAGCTCCTCCGGCCACCCTCTCAGGCTTTGCCCATTCTCACCTCAAATGTCAACTGCGAGGCGATGCTGGACTTCCTTGAATCCAAAGTTGAGGGAATCCACTCAGCTGCCTCTGCCACTGCATCTGCTGTCCCCTCCACATCTCCTCCTCCCACCTCAGCCTCTACCCATCCCTCCCTCCACACCTTTGAACCTGTCTCCCCCTTCTCTCTCACCACCACCATAACCTGTATGAAACTGACCACCTGCTCCCTCGACCATATCCCTATCCCTCTGCTTACCTCCCAGCTATACCTCCTTGCCCCTCTACTCACTGATATCGTAAACCGCTCCCTATCCCCAATTAAAAACCACTGTCATCACTCCTATCCTTAAAAGTCCCTTCCTAGACCCTTCCTTACTCCCTAACTACCGCCCCATCTCCAACCTCCCTTTCCTCTCCAGGGACCTGGAACGAGTTGTTGCTTCTCAGCTTCGCTCCTTCCTCTCCCACCACTCCCTTCTTGAACCAGTCCAATTGGGTTTCCGTGCCACCCACAGAAAAAAAAACGCTCTGGTCAAAGTGACAAATGACATTCTGTCCATCTGCAGCCAGGACTCCCTCTGCCTCCTCATCCTCCTTGACCTCTCTGCTGCTTTTGACACCTATCCTCACCCATCACCTCTCCTCTTACCTCAACCTCCACAGCTCTGTCTTTGAGTGGTTCACAGTGTACCTCTCATACTGCCTGCACCATCTCCACAAACGGTTTCTCCTCTAGCCCCCGGACCGTCTCGTACAGCGTTCCTCAGGGCTCGGTCCCTTGGTCCCCTCCTCTTCAATATCTATACTCTCCCTCTTGGTGACATCATCCGCAGACGTGGGGTTAACTTCCACATGTATGCGGATGACACCCAACTCTACCTCCCTTCCTCCACCCTTGACTCCAGGACCAATGACTGTCCGGACAGAATGTGTGTTAGACAACAAGTCCTAGATGAAAGCTAACTTTCTTCAGTTAAACGTCAACAAGACCGAGGCTCTCTTGATTGGCTACCATCAGGGCCTCCTCACTTCAGGCGCTGACAGTATCACCATCCATGGTTGCACACTCCACCTTGCTAAGCCAGTCCGGAACCTTGGGGTCTTGTTTGACCCTCAACTATTCTTTCTACCCCACATCTGCGCCATAACCTGCTTTGCCTTCCCCCACCTCCGCAACGTTGCCCTGCTCCAACACTGTCTCACCCCGAAACTCTCATACATGCTTTCATTACATCAAGGCTCGACTATGCAAACTCATTGCTTGTCGGCCCCCCAACTCCTCCCTCCACAGACTGCAGATCAGCAACCCGTGTCCTCTCCCCCACCAGGCTCCGCGATCCTATCACACCCAACCTTGCCCGACTCCACTGGCTTCCCATCACACAGAGGATACAGTTCAAGATCCTGGTCCTCATCTTCAAGGCCCTCCACGGTCTTTCTCCCCCCTACCTCTGCGACCTCCTAACCCCCTACCACCCTGCTTCATGTCCGCCGCCTTGCTCGCCCTACTATTGGTGGGTGGGCCTTCCGCTACTCTACCCCCACGCTCTGGAACTCCATCCCACAGTCCCTCCACCTCGCCCTCTCCCTTGCCAGATTCAAGACCCATCTCAAGACTCTCCCCTTCGACCGCACGTTCAATCTCCCTACTTCCCCACCTGCCCTCCACCCTCCCAGACCTGACCTCCAGCTCAGGTATGTAACTGTCTGTCCAGTGCCTTGGGATGTCCTCCTGACGTGAAAGGCGCTATACAAATGTAATTTTGTTGTTATTATTCCACATTGTAAAACCAGTTACCAATTGGGAGAATAACAACAAATTACTTTTGTATAGGCCTTTCACATCAGGAGGGCATCCCAAGGAGCTGCACAGTCAAGGATTTGCACCTAAGCTGGAGGGCGGGGAGGGTAGGGGTAGGAGGGGTGACTGAAGGCACAGTCGAAGAGGAGAGTCTTGAGATGGGTCTTGAAGGAGGCAAGGGAGTGGGTAAGGAGGAGGGACTGTGGGATGGTGTTCCAGAGGGTGGGGGCACAGAGGCTGAAGGCCCACCTGCCAATGGTGGGGCGGGCAAGGGTGGGATGTGAAGCAGGCTGAGTGGCGGGAGCAGACAGTTTGAATATTTTTTTCCCGTACCTACAGTTTGTAGTGCAAAACACTTCACAAAATGCCAGTATTCAGAATCATGTGCGACTATAAATCCAGCCTGGAAATTTTCAAGCAGCATCAAGCTGTTAGCACATCAGAAGTTGCTCACCACACTGAAGGCAATAGCTGATGAGGAATGTTCACATATCCAGTGCTTTCCAGGGTATTCACCTTGATTGGTATGCTCTGAGCGCTCTGAGAGATGCTGTCCGGCTCGGAGGCCGCTATATAAATCCAAGTTGCTGTGTTGTTGTTAAGCAGAATGGTAAGCAGCTGCTGTTCAAGCTCCACATATCCCACTGGTGTGACGATCACTCATTTGGTGTGCATCTGAGCTATGGGCAGGAATAGCAGGTGGCAATACTCTCACACAATTCATACTGAAATGAGTTGTGTTGCTCACCAGGAAGTTCCTGGTACCTATTTTTCAGGATGTCAAATGATTAACTAGTGACCATCTTCATTGTGGTGGGGTACATCCTTGTATTTGATATAGCATCTTGTCACAGCGCTGAGACTTCACAAAATACACTGTAAAGTCAAATGACTGTGCATTTTGTGCACAGCCAATTGCGCACAACAGTATCCGTCCCACAACTAGTGGTGGATTGAGTGACCAAATTATTATTATTATTATTGATGAGAGATGCATAAGTTGTTGTTGTATAAGAGAACAGGGTGACATTTTGAAGCCGAGGGAAGGAGGGAGCGGGGAGGGGAAGGAGAGAGGGAAGGAGGGAGAGAGGCTCTGCTGATGAACTGTCCTCCCCTGTTATCCTGGCTGCAGCAGACACAACTCTCTCAATCTCTTTCTCTTCCTCAGTCTCTCTCTCATTCTCTCTCTCTCACTCTCTTAGTCTCTTAGGCAGAAGTTTACACGAATCATCCATCCCTATCGCTTTGTCATATTTTGAGGATTAATTCATTAAAGAGTGAAAGGTTTATCAGCGCAATAGGCAGTCACCACACACCTGACTCACTTGGCAGCAAGCTCAGTTGATAAATCAGAAGGCTATGGTTTGAAGCCCCATATCAAGATCCTAGTCCAGGCTGACACAACAACACAGTGCTGGGGAAGCGCTCTCCTGTGAGATGCAGTGCGTTTCAGATGGAAGTACTAAAGTGAGGCTCCGTCTGCCTGTTCAGATGGAGGTTAACAATCCATTGGGACTATTCAAAATGACGAGGGAGTTTCTCCTGCTGCCTTGCCCGACAATCCACCAGATAAAAAAACATTCACTACACAGCTGTCTGTGGGGCATTGCTGTGCACAAAAACTGGCTGCTGCTGCGCTCAACCCACTAAAAATACACACGGGTCACCGTGCTTTACAGTAAGGTCCTGTGAAGCTCTTTGGAGGCGTTCAGACAGTGTGATATGGCAGTGTACATAAACACAAGGATTGTGATTATTATTTAAAAACAATTATTTTGAGGGAGGAGAGCGGAGGAGGAAGTGGGAAGAGAGGAGAAATGTACAGCGTATGAATGAGTATAATAATCATCATCCTTGTATTTGATACAGCACCTTGTCACAGCGTTGAGACGTCACAAAATACACAGTGTCCGTCCCACAAACAGCGGTGGATTGAGTGACCAAATTATTATTATTGTTGATGAGAGATGTATAAGTTGTTGTATAAGAGAGAGAGAGAGAGAGAACAAGGTAACATTTTGAAGCCGAGGGAAGGAGGGAGAGAGAGGGGGAGGGGAAGGAGAGAGAGAAGGAGGGAGAGAGAGAGAAGGGGGAGAGGGGAAGGAGAGAGGGAAAGAGGGAGAGAGAGGGGGGGGGGGGGAGGAGAGAGGGAAGGAGGGGGAGAGAGGGGGAGGGGAAGGAGAGAGGAAAAGAGGGAGAGAGAGGGGGGGGGGAAGGAGAGAGGGAAGGAGGGGGAGAGAGGGGGAGGGGAAGGAGAGAGAAGGAGGGAGAGAGAGAGAAGGGGGAGAGGGGAAGGAGAGAGGGAAAGAGGGAGAGAGAGAGGGGGGGGGAGGAGAGAGGGAAGGAGGGGGAGAGAGAGAGAGAGAGAGAGAGAGGGTAAGGAGAGAGGGAAGGAGAGAGAGGGGAGGGGAAGGAGAGAGGGAAGGAGAGAGAGGGGAGGCGAAGGAGGGAAGGAGAGAGAGGGGAGGGGAAGGAGAGAGGGAGAGAGGGGGGGAGAGGGGAAGGAGAGGGAAGGAGGGAGGGAGAGAGAGGGGGGAGGGAAGGGGAAGGAGAGAGAGGGGGGGGAGGGGAAGGAGAGAGGGAAGGGAGGGAGAGAGAGAGAGAGAGGAGGGGAAGGAGAGAGGGAAGGAGGGAGAGAGAGAGGAGGGGAAGGAGAGAGGGAAGGAGGGAGGGAGGTTCTGCTGATGACCTGTCCCCCCCCCGCTATCCTGGCTGCCGGGGCCTGGCACGAGCAGAGACAACTCTCTCTCTCAGTCCCTCTCTCTCTCTCTCTCTCTCTTTTCCTTCCCCAGTCTCTCTCTCTCACTCTCTGTCCCTCCGTCTCCCCCCCCCCCCCCCCGGGCCTGCTGCAGGCGGCGCCATGGCGACACCTCGTCACAAGGGTCGCCATTGCCCGTGTGGGCGGCGGTTACAACTCTCTCTCTCTCTCTCTCTCCCCCCCCTCCCCCTCCCCGCCCCCCGGGTATTTACCTCGGCCGCCTCTCCCTCTCTCCCTCTCTCTCTCTCCGTCTCTCTCAGTCACTCTCCCGCCGCCGCCTCACTCGCCATTCCTCTCGACGAAGCAGCCAACGGGCGCCGCGTGACCCCTGACCCCGCCCGCGCTCCCGCCTCCCGCCTCGCGCTCACACCCACTCCCTCGCGCCTGCGCACTCTCCTCCCCGCTCTGCCCTCCTCCCCTCCCCCGCCGCCACCTCGACTCCACCCACCGCTCGCGTCATCGCTCAACCTCCCTCTCGCCCTCCCGCAGCGCCACCTGCCGCCCGGGAGGACCTCAAGCAGGGACCTCACTGCAGGAGCAATAATAATAATCCTTGCATTTGATATAATAATAATAATCCTTGCATTTGATATAATAATAATAATAATCCTTGCATTTGATATAATAATAATAATAATCCTTGCATTTTATATAATAATCTTTGAATTTGCTATATAATAATAATAATAATCCTTGCATTTGATATAGCGCTTTTCACGTCGGGAGGACGTCCCAAAGCGCTTCACAGAACACACTGTAAAGTGAATTGACTGTATATTTGTGGGCGAACGCAGCAGCCAATTGCGCACAGCAATGTCCCACAAACAGTCGTAGATTGAAAATGACCAATTTATTATTGTTTTGGGTTTTGGAGGGTTATTATTAGGCTCTGTGTGGAGTAAGGAAACTTGCCCAAGGTTTCACCCTCTGCCTGGAATTGAACTCAGGTCTCTCACTTGCAAAGCGAGTGCTCTAACCACTGAGCTACAGGAGTCTGATATAATGCCTTATCACATCTTTGAGACGTCTCATAGTATATACTGTAAAGTGAATTTACTGTATATTTTGTGGGTGAAACGCAGTAGCCAATTGCGCACAGCAGTGTCCCACACAAACAGCCGTGGATTGATTGACCCAATTATTATTATCGCTTATTTCATTTTGAAGGGATTATTATCCCCGGAAAAGCGGGGATAACCGACTGATAACCGGCTTCATACTTGCTGCTGGATAAACAGAGGCGTGTGGAATAAGGAAACTTGCCCGATGTTTCGCTTTGTCCCGGGAATTCATAGAATCATAGAATTATACAGTACAGGAGGAGGCCATTCGGCTCTTTGCGAAGAGCTTCCAATTTAATTCCACTCTCCCACGCTCTCCCCATAGCCTTGCAAACTTGTCCACCCCAAATAATTATCTGCTGGATAATTATCTACTGGTTACTGGACTGCTCCGAATTGAACCCAAATCTCTCGCTTGCAAGTTGAGTGCTCTAACCACTGAGCTACAGGACTACAAGGCACATAGTTATCACCTTCCTGGGTTGTCACTTGTAAAAGCACTGTCAATAATCAGCTGTTGATTACCAGGAAATACAGCAATATAATAAATATATAAACACACATTAAACATATCACGCTCAATAAAGGTACTAAGCGCTCCAGATGCCATCCAGCATGAAGGGCGCTATATAAATGCAAGTTGTTGCTGTTACTAATCCTTCTTTCACACTATCATTGTGTATACAGTATATATTTGAAGGAATTATAACCGTTTCGACAACAAAATACAGTCAATCCACTTTTACAGTATATTCTGTGAAGCGCTTTATTATTATTATTATTATTATTATTATTAGGCTCTGTGTGGAGTAAGGAAACTTGCCCAAGGTTTCGCCCTCTGCCTGGAATTGAACTCAGGTCTCTCACTTGCCAAAGCGAGTGCTCTAACCACTGAGCTACAGGACTCCCTAAATTATGTATTTGTAGGTGAATATAGCAGGCAATTTCCGCACAGCAATGTCCCACAAACAACTATAAAGTGAATTACCAATTTTATTCAGGAAATTATTAACCAGAAAAAAGGCAAAATACTGCAGATGCTGGAAATTTTGAAATAAAAACTGATGTCGTTGGGAACACACTCAGCAGGTCAGGCTGCATCTATGGAGAGAGGAAAGTGAGTTCTGACGAAAGGTCATCGACCTGAAACGTTAACTCACTTTCCCCTCTCCAAAGATGCTGCCTGACCTGCTGAGTGTTCCCAGCGACTTCTGTTTTAATGTTTAATTATTAGCCAGAACACTGGTCAAAACTTTCTTCTCTTTTCGAATACTATAAAGCCATGGGGATCTTAAATATCTATCTTTAACATCCTGCACAGGCAGTGTGGACCTTGCTTTACCATATCATCCAAAGGACAGCCCCTCTCACAATGCAATCCTCCCCCAGCAATGCACTGGAATGTCAACCCAGACTATGATCTCAAAGTCCCAGTGTGGGGTTTGAAACCACAACCTTCTGACTCAGAGGTGAGAATGAGTCAGGCACGACACCTGTATGTATATGTATGCTATCTACACATGGAAATTTCCATGTTTGGAATGGAATGTGCGCTCTCCCCGGAGGAAAACAGGTTATCTATTTCCGTCGACTATTAGGCGCAAGTTGGCAAGACAACAACAATTACATTCGTATAGTGCCTTTCACATCAGACCCATGGTTAGGGATTCTAGAGTGGAGCACTTATCACTGTTAAAGCTTATTTGCTTTGAAGACTCTTAACCTCTTAATTATAATTATGAATTCCAGCAGATCAAACTAAACAGTAAGGACTCACATAAAAATAGGGAAACCCATTCAATGCAAATCCATCCTGGCGTCCCTCTGCCTTGCCTCCTACAAAAACCGAGCCTTAAGCCCTATCTTTTTGACGATGCTTTCGGCCCTCTAATTCACTCCCTCCCCGCAGCCTGAGCTCCCAGTCTGCTGTGTGAAGCACTTCAAGGCATCCTCCCGATGTGAAAGGTGCTTATATAAATTATAATTGTAACTCACTCTAGTATAAAATCATGTAAAGTTTCTAGAAACGCAAAGTGTCATCAGCCAATCTGATAATAAGTACATGTAATCTATTATGAGATGCTGCATTATTCACCGACTTATTACAAATCAATTTGCATGGGTACATCAATAGACATTAATGTGAGTATCAAATGATATTGAATAATTGATGAATAGAAACCAAGCATTGTCTACTTATCCCTGTCATTTTGTTTCTATGGGAACTCATTGACAGCATAGCCACAGCGGTTATATATATAATAAACCTTGCATTTGATATAGCAAAAACAAAGTTATTCTTGTTGCTGTTTATCATTTTTGGGGCAATGTATTTTGTAACCAAACATGGTAACCAACTGACACTGAGGAATATAATAATCCTTGCATTTGCTGTAGTGCCTTATCACGTTGTTGAGACGTCTCAAAGCGCTTCACAGAATATACTGTAAAGTGAATTGACAGTATTTTGTGGGTGAGACGCGGCAGCCAATTGTTCACAGCAACGTTCTAGAAACAGTCGCGGATTGAGAGACCCAATTATTATTATTATTATTATCAACTAATAATCGAGTTCCTACTCACTGCTGGGTAAATAGAGGCGTGTGGAGTAAGGAAACTTGCCTAAGGTTTGCACTGCCTGCTAATCAGGACTCAAGGAGCACTCCACCTCTCTTTTCGAACAGTGCTGTGCTGTAAACATAGAACACAAAGTGATCTGTCACATTGGAGAGAAAAACAACAGAAATCAATACTTCACAATTTAACTTTTTCAAATTCCATGAGTCCTGATCAGCTCGAGTGCGAGGGAATATAACAGCAATTACTGTGTGTGGCAACTACTGAGAATTTCAGTTATTGACAACAGTAATTACTGAGAGTATATCATAACCACAGGTATTAGTGGGTAAACAGCTCATCGGGAAAAGAAGGAACAACTTTTTATTAAAAACAGAAGTCCCTGGGAACACGTAGCAGGTCAGACTCTCTCTACGGAGAGAGGATTCCGCGCTTGACCGGGCGAGGGCGAGAGGAAAAACCATTTGAAAACCATCTCCCTCATGTATGGACCAACTTTCCTCTAAATACATTGATGCTTTCTGATCACTTCAGGAACTTTACAAGTGGAGTCCCAACAATTCAAGTGAGGATCACAACAACAACAAAACATTACATTTGTATAGCATAAACATCGAGGCATATTGTGTGGTCGTCTCAATGCATTTATATAGCATTTTACATAAACTGTTACATCAAGGAAACAGGTCTTTAGGCACAGCTTCCGGCAGTGAGTTCCACATTCTCAATACCCTCTGCCAACTTGCAAATCTCTGATCTGTATGACCTGTTTTTCACTGTACATTGCCTTTACCCACTGGTCCCGAGAATGTAGAATACATCATTATTGTGAGTCAGCCTGGCTCTGTTAGTAGCACTCTCCCCTCTGAGTCAGAGACATGACTGAGGGGAGAGCAGGGAGGGGAGCGAGTCGGAAGGCCTCTAGATGAAGTTGCAGAGATTAGAGGCAGCCATTGACTATCCATTCCTAAAGGACAAGAAACGCATCAACAACAAAACATTACATTTGTATAGTCAGGAGGACATCTCAGGGCACTGGACAGTCAAGGATGTGTACCCAACCTGGAAGTTTGGATTAGAAGGGGTGGAGGGCACGGAGGGTGGGGGTAGGAGGATGAAGACTGAAGGCGCAGTCGAAGAGGAAAGTCTTGAATTGGGCCTTAATGGAGGTGCCGAGCGAAGGGACTGTGGAATGGTGTTCCAAAGGATCGGGATAGAAAGGCTGAAGGCTCGACCACAGATTAGCTACATGAATAAGTAAAGTCACGGATGTGGGGGGCTGGCGGCAGGGAAAATAATCTTGCAGAAGAGTGCTGGCTATTATTATGTACTTAACCGTGCACTTATCCATCAAATAGAAAACAAAAGCATTATTCAGAGCTGCCACGTTGGAATTTTCTAAATACCAATCGTCAATAAGACCCATTGTACTGCTTTAATCAAAGAAAACTCTCAATCATCATTCACATCCGTCATTTTGAAAACCACGAGCAATTAAAATGGTAAGCACAAATCATTTCTACTGAAGCATAGCCATCTTTCCTGGTTTGATTTAAATGAACCAACTCGTAAAAGACTCAAAGTCAAGATTACTGAATAAAACAAACAAGAACAAGCGACCGGTCACAAAGGATTTCAATTTTAAAAAAATTGACCACTCAATCCACGACTGTTTGTGGGAAACTGCTGTGCGTAATTGGCTGCCACGTTTCGCCCACAAAATATTCAATTCAATTCACTTTGCAGCACTAAAATCACCATTTTTCAGAGGATCCAGACCAGATGGTGGATTCCGCATAACTGCACTGGCACAGGGATTCTTCCCACTCGGCTCCTGTTAACCCTGGAGGCCAAAGCCCTAAAAGGTAGAGTGGTGCTAGCTGGACAAGCAGAGAAAGCTAGCTCGACAGTGCTTCCGCACTCTGGAGTCCCCAAACCTTGTGCCAAATACTCTTGCCAATCTGTACCTGATACTCTCCGGGATTATGTAAGCAGGTTTGCGTCCCTCCAGGGAGAGAGTTCACATCACATTCCAAACATGGGAATTTCCGCGTGTAGGTGGCGGCCATGGAACTCTCAGTCCGGTTTGGGTACTCTCTGGTGATGGGTGTGCGAACACGTTGGACATCAGGCTGACAAACAAAACCTGTTGCCTACGCGTGAAAATTCCCTCATAGCGGAGTGTGGAACCAAAATACTGTGCTACAATTCTCTAATACAAGATGGAACCAAGCATTGGTGAAAGATAGGGCATGCTGGCTCTGATCTTCCTAGCCGCCTAACAGCCTTCCTTTTTGATCGTGCTTACGGTCATCTCCCCCCCCATCCCTCTCCCCCTGGCTGGGTGTCAGGCTCCGCCACTGTCAAGCGCTCCAGGATGCTAGCTGGCATGAAGGGCGCTATATAAATGCAATTTGTTGTTGTTGTCGTCGTTGTTGTTGTATTCCCCTCTCCCTCATGTGTATATCCAGTGTGTATCTAATTATTTTAAAATGAAATCACAAATCCCAGTGGAACATTCACGTAAAGCGCTTCACAATTTAAGATTACTCAACGTTAAAGTAACATTTTAACTCACCCACAAAATATACAATCAATTCGCTTTACAGTATAGTCTGTGAAGCGCTTTGAGACATCTCAATGACGTGATAAAGTGCAGTATCAAATGCAAGGATTAAATACAAGGATTATTAAAAATCCCACATGAGAATTCCCAATGGGTGTAAATTTACCGGAGTAATTTATCCCTCGAAAAACTGCAGATGTTTTCCTCCACTAATTAAAAAACAATCTGCTAAATCTGTCTCCTCATCACCACCACTGGTTGGTTACCTATTGCCAGGTCTCTGCCAAAGCCTTTCTATAACTGTCTCCTTGGGATGAATAAGAAAGCAAACCTACAAGACTGCAGAGTTGGCAATTTCCCCAACCTTCCTGGTCCGACACACTTCCCCATTGGTACATTTTGACGCTTTGATGACGTGTGGTGTATTAGTGAGAGCTCTCGCTTCATAACCAAGAGGACCTGGGTTCGATTCCCAGGCAGGGAGAAACATTAGGCAAGTTTCCTTACTCCACACACCTGCTTACCTAGCAGTAAGTGCTCTGAGACGCTACTGTGTGGAGGGGGCTATACAAGTGCAAGTTTTTGTTGTTGTTGTGAGTAGGAACCCGGTTGTTAATTATTTGGCAGATCGCTGTTCCAGGGATAATAATCTCTTCAAAAAATAATAATTTTGTCACTCAATCCACGACTATTTGTGGGACACCACTGTGTGCACTTGGCTGTCGCATTTCGCCCACAAAATATACAATCAATTCACTTTGCAATATATTCTGTGAAGTGTTTTGAGACCTTGTAAAAGTGTGATAAGGCACTGTATCAAATGCAAGGATTATTACTATTGATTATTGGGTTAGCCTGGCTCAGTTGGAAGGTTATGGGTTCAAACCTCATGTGAGGACTTTGGATTTCACTAGTGTTGGATGAGCGCTACTATCTCAGAAGTAACGCCCTTTGGATGAGACTTTAAACCAAGGTCATGTCTGCCTATTCAACAGATATTAGGATTTTTCCACCCAGTGTCCTGGTCGACAATCAGCGAATAAAATTAGTCATTCACTTCCACTGTTTGTGGGAGACATTGTTGTACACAAATCAGCTGCTGTATTCGCCAACAAAATACATGGTACACTTTATAATCAATCCTATGAAGCACTTTGAGATGTTCTCCCAATGCGAAAGGTGCTGTATGAAATGCAAGGATTATTTTTATTTAAAAATTCAGTCTTTATAATGGGCCAAATCTTTACAACAACAAAATTACATTTGGAGGACATCCCAAGGCGCTGAACAGTCAGGGATCAGGGCCCGAGCGTGGGGAGTGGGGGGGAGGCAAGGTTGGGATGAGGGAGGGCAGAGGGTGTAGGAGGGTGGCTCAAGGCACAGTCAAAAAGGAGGGTCTTGAGTCGTGTCTTTAAGGAGGCAAGACTCCATGATTCCAATATTACACACAAGATTAGTTTTCAATGAGGCAGAATTGAAATATTTCCTGGGAATACGGTCGGAATAAATAGAAAACCCAGTGTAAAAACGACAATAAATTACTTGAAGTGCAAGTAAAATAACTTAACACCCTGACTTTTAATTTTATAACACTTATGGAAAGAGCTAATCCTGATTAAGTGGAATTATTTTTTGTTCATCTTAGTCTTTTCTCCAGTAAATTTAGGATTGTATCTTATGGAGAACGATGCAAAGAAGCTACGCGACAGAGAAATCCCTCCGGGGTTTAGTCTTTCTTCAAAGAGGCTTTATTGATGTCGCCAAAATCCTTGAAGACCTGTAATAGGATGATCCCGACTGAAATAGTGGTGAACCCACACAGCATTCCAAGGAAGTCTACAATTCCAACACCACTCCACTCCCGGAATAGGATGGCAGATGCCAGAACGACCAAAACTGTGAAAGCCACGTAGTAGATTGCATTGAACACGGAGGAATCAAAGTACTTCAGCGCCTCATTAATGTAGGTGAATTGAATAATAACACTGCAGGTCAACGTTGCCAGCAATATCACAAAGAGGCACAGAGCCCGTACGCTTGATGGATTGTCGCTGAATGCGTCTTGAGCTGCCAGACCAATCCCTTTGCTGCTTGGCACGGTGAAGGTGCCCAACAGTGAGCAAATGGCAATGTAAACCAGGATGTGGTTGGGGCCATGGGAAGGTGCAATCCAGAAGATAAGTAGGATCAACAACAGCAGGATTAAACAGAGGTAGCCAAGAAACACTGGAAAATAGAAAGAAAAGAAAATTAGACAAGGCATCAATACCCAATTGGTTTGCTCTCAAAAACAAATCAACCTCCCCTGCCTCCCTCAATTTATAGATTTTCTATTGGAGTCAAAGGTTGGCCGCTCCCACCCTCTCTCATTTCTGTGGGTTATTTCCTGACTATTATAAATGCAAGCTGCTGTGGCTGTTGTTGGTAGGCAGTTCTGCCCACCCCAATGCTTTCACCTGCTAGGCTTCATTACAGCAGGTTTATTCTGGACAACAACATCCATTTATATAGCATTCTTTATTCAGGGTGGTGTCTCGGAGAGTTTAACAGTGGCAGAGCTTGATGCAGAGCCAGGGAGAGAGGGGAGGTAACCTTAAGCACGGTCAAAGAGAAAGGTCTTGAGATGCAATGTGAACATGGGAAACATGGGGACAAGGAGGAGGGACTGAAGCAGAGAGTTTGAGTCTTGCGCTGCTGATGGTGAATGGGGGACATACAGGAGGCCGTAGCCAGCTGAGCGAATGAGTAGAGGACTGGGGTGGGTGTAAGCAGGAGACAAACAGCTTGATTACTATAGAGATACGAGTTCAACTGCACTGTGCAATTTTCTCTTTTCTTTCGTGAAAATACCCGCTCGGTATCTCTTCAGATAATTGATAAATTATGACAGAAGCCAGGATCTACCAAAGAATGCATTTAAAAATAAACCTGAAATCATCTATATAGGGTATAATAATAATAATCCTTGCATTTGATAAAGCGCCTGATCACATCACTGAGACATCTCAAAGCGCAGCACAGAATATACTGTGAAGTGAAATGCACAACCAATTGCGCACAACAGTGTCCCACAAACAGTCATGGACTGAAATGCCAAATTATTTTTTTTAATGGATTGTTACCCCCCGGAAAGTGATCCACCAATCGACTAACAACCGGGTTCCTAATTACTGCTTGGTAAACAGGCGTGTGGAGTAAGGAAAGGTAAGGTAAGGTTTCGCCCTGCCCAGGAATCAAATCGAATTGAACCCGAATATACAATATTTCTAAGTTTGCTGATGGCACTAAGTCATCCCAAAGTGTGAAGAGGGCAGCAGAAAACTGAAAAGAGAAAAAGACAGATTAGGCAAGAGTCCAGAACAGTGGCAGATGTGGCTTAACAAAGTATGAGGTTTACCCTTTGCACACATGAATAGGGTAACAAAATACGTTTAAATGGGAAAGCACGAAGAATAGTAGATGAAGAAAAAGATTAATGTTTCCAAGAGCGTAAACCATTACAATCTAGCTGGAGGCGCCGAAAGCAATCGATACGGTTAATAGGAATGCTGACCTTTATAGCAGGAGGTCTGCTCCAGTTATATAGAACACGAGTCAGATCTCATTTGAGTACCTTATACTGTTTGAGTATTGTGTTGAAGAAATTGAACTCAAAAACAACTTGAACTTGCTCATCACTTGCTGAGGCTAAAATGTTATTTATACAAATTTCTAGTATTTTTTTCAGTGCCTTGGGACGTCCTCCCTACGTGAAGGGCGCTAAACAAATGTAATTTTGTATTTTAATTTGTATAGTAATGTGCCAGGACTTGTTCCATTTCTGCTTGCCAGATCAGTAACATATGTTATCCAATGGTCCCAACTGAAGGAACATAATTGTAGTCAGGATTGGGCTCTCTTTGGGCTCCATAGATAATGACCACTCGTCCATGCGTTCATCACTCCCACCTCGACTACTCAAATGCCCTCCTCACTTGTCTCCTCAATTCCACCGCTTTGCCCCTTCCTTCCCCATCTTCAGGTCGTGCCTGAAGACCTTCCTCTTCTACCTTGCCTACATCACCTTCCCCCTCCCCAGCATCATGCTCCAAAAAATAATTTTCTGAGTGCCTTGTATTGTATAAAACTCTATACGGACCATATGGTACATCATACGATTTAATGCGTATTCTGAATCTCGTAACTCTGCATTAGTAACTCAAATTTTTATACAAATATATGTAGTAAAACAAAATGCAGTGTTCTCCAAAGCAATGCAGAACACACTGGACAAAAAACAACTTAAATCAAATTGCTATTTTATTGTTTCAAAAAAAATAATTTGGTCAATCAGTCCACGACTGTTTGTGGGACACTGCTGTGCGCAATTCGCTGCCGCATTTCACCCACAAAATACAGTGAATTCACTTTACAGTAGGTGCTATATCAAATGCAAGGATTATTATTATTATAACTTGCATTTAGATTGCGTGTCCTTCACACAGGATAGCGTTTCGGATTGAGACATGGGATAGAGTCTTGGATAGCGCCTTGACCTCTTGATGTTTCGTATCCCATGACAATATGCACTTGGATCAACAGGTCTATAATTCACAGATGATTCATTGGAATTCTTTTCACATGAAAAGCAATGAAATACAACACGAAATACACAGCTGCTGATGTAAAGCGGGAGTAATTATAAATCAGTAACAGAGATGTGGGTGATTCAGTGCGTCTCAGAGTACCAAGGGATTGGGTGAAGTGAGGGGTGGCACACAGGTTCTTTATTGCTCCACTTCACTGAGCTCCTGATCTCAAGCTCACAGACAAAGCCAAACAAATATCCACAGCAAGGAAATAAGATGCTGTGTGCTTGGATCAGCAAGTCTATACACCACAGATGACAAACTGGAAATTCTTTACATGAAAATCAACAAACTGCGGGATAATACTAATACTGCTTATATTTAATATAATAACTCCTTTCACGTCTTCGAAACGTCTCAAAGCCCCTCACAGAATATACTGTAAAGTGAATTGACTGTATATGGGCGAAATGTGGAATCAGATCGAAGTCCTCTCAGTTCCGAGCGAGCGCTCTAACCCCTATGCTATAGGACTTCACGTATTTGAATTAAATAGAAAGTTACCTGGGTTGGTTAGTTTCTCTTCCAGCTCCACCCTTGAGGTTACGCTCTCTGATTTGGGTGCGTGAATGAGGAGCACAATGGATCCAGCACAACTCAGCAAACAGCCCAGTTTGCCCAGCAAGTTTAGCTTCTCCTGCAACACATAGGAGGCCAGAACCGACCTAGAAAAACAAACAGGGGGCGGAGAGAAGGTCAACATTGAACACAGTTTCCAAACGATGAGGACGGAAAAGGTTCTTACGAAAATGCAATCGTTACCTTTCAAACACGGAATGTGTTTGCGGTTATATCGGAGCTATTAAAAGAGCTATAAATAATTAGCAGTTCTTATTCATATTCCTGCCTCGTACATATACAACTTGAATTCATAAAGCGCTCTTCATGCAAGGCATGTATCAGAGTGCTTAAAGATGTTGGGAGTTTGACCCCAAGCCAGGGTGACCGTAGGCATGGTTGAGGTGGAAGGTCTTCAGGTGAGGGCAAGGTAGAGGGATTGTGGTAGAGAGTTCCAGAGTTTTGGCATATTCACCAAAACAGAAAATAGTTAATCTACTCATTCATCCCATTTGTTACCTGCACAGATTTAACTGCTACTTTTGACTATATAACAGTCACTTCATTTCAAACTAAGCATTTTGTGAAGGGTTTGAGAACTTCGGTGTGAATAAGGTGCTTTGAGTCAAGTCAGATTGCTGAACCTCAGGAAGCATGGAGTATGTTTTACGTTTGTTTGGAAAGCTCCTGAGTTTCAGCCCCAACCCTTCTGAGGTCAATATAATGAGTATGAAATGTAACCTTGGTGAGGAGGGTAAATGAGAGGTTGGTGGATTAATAATAATGATGATGATAATACTAATAATCAATAATCCTTGCATTTGATATCGTGCCTATTTTGTGACCAATTTATCATTTAAAATGTTTTTTAAAGGGATTATTAACCCTGAAAAGTGATCCTCCAATCAACTGACAACTGGGTTCCTATTTACTGCTAGATATGCAAAGGTGTGTGGACTAAGGAAACTTGCCTAAGGTTATGCTGGGAATCGAACCCGGGTCCTTTTGCTCGCGCGGCGAGTGACCTTACCAATACGCTACAGGACTCCACGTTAAACTGGGTTAAACAGGGCTAAACAGGTCTGCGATAACCAAAGCACTGTTGATTGTATGACAATAATGAGACAGAGACTGTGGATCAGTCCAACTGAGTGAGCTAAAGCCCTTATGGATAGGGTTCAGTTAGCTGGACAAGAGCTGTGTGTGGTTAACAAGAGATGATATGAAATGTATATATTTTTTAAAAAACAAAGGAATTTATAGTCATAAGTAAATATGGAGAGACAACTGCAAAAAGGTCAGATATTGCACCAATATCTGTGCGAAGATAATATCTGTGTCCTTCATACACCCTCATCTACCCAAGAAACAGATCCCAATTATAATAGTAATAATAATGATCCTTGCATTTGATATAACACCTTAACTTAGAGACATCTCAAAGTGCTTCACAGGATATACTGTAAAGTGAATTGACTGTAAATTTTGTGGGCGAAAGATACAAAGCTGGACAATGAGGGATAATAAAAACTTTACCCAAACGGCACTCCGAGGGCTCCTATTGGTGTCACCAATACAGCAGGAGCAGCGTTGTAAGCAAAGAAATTTCCTACTTGTCCCAGAGCCACTGTTACAGAGGAGACAATTGCAAAATATTAATACAAGTTCATGCAGTCTTTGAAAAGTATCACTCAGCCAATAAAAGATAGGGTAACAGCCCGTGAAACCCAATGTCATGCTACAATTGTGTCAGCCTGACTCAGTTAGTAGCACTCTTGACTTTGAGTCAGAAGGTTGTGGGTTCAAGCCCCACATCGACACACGGGATCCATCTTCTTCTTCTTCTACTACACTAATAAAACGACAATGTCTGTCTGTGCTTCAAGAAGGATCTCAATATCCGATTGACCTAGCGACATGATCGATACCTCATCGGAAAGGTCTTGCTTCTGGGAGTGACATGGGCATATTTGGTTTAGTGTATCTCCTACAGTTCATGAGTGATTTTCAGTTTTGCGTTGTTCACTGCAGTTACACCTGGTGGCCGCCGAGTCAAAGTGGAGCTGTGGCATTGTGCGTCAGAGAGCACCTATGTATGTACCCACTGCAGTTACACCTGGTGGCCATGCCGGCTGACCGTGGCACTGTGGCATCGTGCGTCACGGAGAAATCACGTAGCCAAGCGGCGGGAACAAAATAAAGAACACAGACGAAGCCAAGCCGTGGCAACAACAAAACTTACATTTTTAAAGCACCAAGTCCTCCCAAAAGGAGTCCTCCCAAAAGGAGTCCTCCCAAAAGGAGTCCTCCCAGATGAGTGCAGATAAAGATGAAATATCTGTCTGTGTGTCAATCTACATTCCGTATTGGATCCTTTGGTTGCAAGCGAAGCTGCAATGGGTACAACTAGTATAGTACATGCCTCCACTCCGATGCAGTGCTCTGGGTGTGCTGCATTGCTGTCCTTTGGATGAGACATTAAACCAAGGTCCTGTCTGTCTATTTGTTTGGGTGGACGTTAAAGATCCCGTGATACTATTCAAAAAGAAAAGAAGTTTCCCCCAGTGTCCGGGCCAACAATCCTCCAAATAAAATTGGGTCATTGACTCTACGGCTGAATTATGAGAAGTCACTGTGCACAAATTGGCTGCTTCATTTGCCCATAAAACATGGGCAAAACTTCGAAACACTTCACAGGATTTACTGCAAAGCAGATTGATTGAATGTTTGGGGATGAAACGCCACAGCCAATTTGCATACAGCCACATCCCACAAACAGTCATCAAGTGGATGACCAATTTTACCTCAGGGTTTGTTGGTCAGGACACAAAATAGTGCCGTGGGATCTAAAGAAACAGACAAGATCTTGAGTGAGTGAATGACCAACTTTTACCTGGAGGCTGACAAAAATCGTACTTTGGTGTAATTGCACCATTTTTAACTATGGTTTTATACCACGTAGATTGCATCCATAAAAGTCTTCGCAACATGTGCTCTGACAGAAAGCAAGCTAAATTGTCAGGTGCAATAACATTAAATGACAAACATGCATATTTGTACAAATCAATAAGAACAATAACTTGGATTGATAGCGCGCACTTCACGCAGGGTAGGGTCTCGGAGCACTTAACATCATATTTGAGAGGAGCAAGAGAGTTTATCTTCATTCAAGATCAATTTTTGAATTGTTAAAGATTTATGGTTTCTATTTTATACAAAGATTCCTCTGTAAGTAGTTACATCTACAAAGATTGACAAAAGGTGTACAGCATGGAACCAGGCCACATGGTCCAACTAGTCCGTGCCGTTCCTTACTCCCTCCCATACCCTTCTATTCCGCTCTCCCTAACATGAATGCATCTATTTCAAAGCCCTCCCTGGAATTACTCCTCCCAACGTTTGGAACCCGCTAACCTCATATGGACCTGTCCGCTCCCTCCGTTCAGTGGGCTCCGGCCACCTCCATGTCCCCCGCCCAGTCTACTCCACCATCGGCGGGCGGGGCTTCAGCCTGTCTGCCCCCACCCTTTGGAACTCCATCCCACAGTCCCTTCGACTCACCCCTCCCTTGCCTCCTTCAAGTCCCAAGAACCTCCTCTTCGACCGCGCCTTCGGTCACCCTCCTCTCCCTACCTCCTCTGCCCTCCACCCCTCCTGTTCCCAACCCTCAGCTCAGGTCCATCTCCCTGACTGCCCAGTGCCTTGAGACGTCCTCCAACATGTTGAGCAGATACAAATATAATGTTGTTGTCATATGCAAAGTCTCTGCCGGTATTACAAATTCAGGTGCTTCAGTGTGATTGAACACAGGATTTGGGGAGGGGGCGGTAAACAGACTACGCACGACCTCCTGCTGTGGCTAACCAGCTAAACCTGCTCGAAAACCAAAGGGCAGATACTCACTTGCTGCAGTCCCAGCCCACCAAACCAGTTCCGTGAAATACGACGCACCTGTTGGAAGGCAATGGTTAAACCCCGGTTAGCATCCTAGAGCACTCAACAGTGGCGGAGTCTGACTCCGATTACAAACATTCTGACTTAATACTGACATTTAATCTGTGGTGCTGAGCAGAATAGTTCTGCACTCGTCAAGATAAGCCATTTTAGTGTCGGGAAGTGGATCTCATTCCCATTCCCAGGCTCCACAGGATTTACTGTAAAGCGCAGAGACTGTATTTTGTAGGCAAAATGTAAATCCAATTTGTATGCACTAATATCCCACAAACAACCATGACGTTAATGACAACTATTACACCAGGAGAAACTCCCTTCTCTTTTCAAATAATAAACCTCATATGTGATGTTTAACGTCCACCTGAACAGGCAGGTTGCACCTCATCTTAAAATCTCTACAATTCCTCCCCAGCACTGTATTGAAGGGTCAGTTTAGACTATATCTGTTCAAAATCTTGATGTGGGGATTTAACCCACATTCTGCTGTGCAGAAATTGCCTGCTATATTCACCTACAAATACATAATTTAGGGAGTCCTGTAGCTCAGTGGTTAGAGCATTCGCTTTGCAAGTGAGAGACCTGAGTTCAATTCCAGGCAGAGGGCGAAACCTTGGGCAAGTTTCCTTACTCCACACAGAGCCTAATAATAATCCCTCCAAAACCAAAAACAATAATAAATTGGTAATTTTCAATCCATGACTGTTTGTGGGACATTGCTGTGCGCAATTGGCTGCCGCGTTCGCCCACAAATATACAGTCAATTCACTTTACAGTATATTCTGTGAAGCACTTTGGGACGTCTAGAAGACGTGTAAAGCGCTATATCAAATGCAAGGATTATTATTATTATTATTATTAACCGGTAACCTTCTGACTCAGAGGCAAGAGTGCTACCAAGTAAGCCAGACCCAACACTTGATTTTCATTGGTACCTAATTTTATCATGGATATTGTGCGTGCGTATGAGAGATAGTATGTTGGGCAAATAAGGACTGAGAATCACATAGACTAACACCCCAATGCAGCACTGAGGGTATGGTGCGGGGAGATACCAGAAAATAACCAGCACCCACAGACCCACACAGAGCTCCAGGACTCCTACAGGACAATAAATGAGCTTAAATCATTTTAAATATCCGGGTGTCCCAATTCCAGTTCCTTTGCAACAACACCTGTTCACAGAAACACAACAGAAAGGTGGGGAGGTGGGAGGTGGGTGGGGGAACCAAAAATAAAAACAAAATACAAGTATGTGTTTGACAGACCTTTGCTCTGGGCTCGCAGGATGCCTTTCCTTTGCAAAACGAAAGTGGAGCCATTAACCAGACTGGAGATCACAGCAACAGCCAGTCCCAGGGACAGCGGCAAGGACTCCGGTTCCATGTCCTACTTCCCCACACCTCACCTGAGCCACGAGCGATCCTGGGCCGCCGATACCTATGGGGAGAGGACAGAATTAATCCGTGCAAAAAGTTCCCTCTCCGCTTTAAGTCACGTGCAAAAATCCACCATTTAGTGCAATAAAACCCTCCCTTTCCACTCCTCACACATGCGCCGTATCCAACTAAGGCTACAATCTTCTTCCTGGCACTTCCTTCCAAGCTCTGGTTGCAGGGCGCCCTCTATCGGACGCTTGCAGAGCACTCACAGGACTGGGCAAGCTGCTAATGAATCAATTCTAAATAATAATAATAATAATAATAATAATAATAATAATAATCCTCGCATGTGATACAGCTCCATATCATGACTTCGAGAACGTCTCAAAGCCCCTCACAGAATACACTGTAGAGTGAATCGGCTGTATAATAATAATAATAATAATAACAATCCTTGCATTTGATATAGCGCTTTTTTACGTCTTCGCGACGTCTCAAAGCGCTTCACAGAATAGACTGTAAAGTGAATTGACTGTATATTTGTGGGCGAACGCGGCAGCCAATTGCGCACAGCAATGTCCCACAAACAGTAGTGGATTGAAAATGACCAATTTATTATTGTTTTTGGAGGAATTATTATTAGGCTCTGTGTGGAGTAAGGAAACTTGCCCAAGGTTTCGCCCTCTGCCTGGAATTGAACTCAGGTCTCTCACTTGCAAAGCGAGTGCTCTAACCACTGAGCTACAGGACTCCACATATATATTTTGTGGGAGAAAGGCGGCAGCCAATTGCACACAGCAGCGTCCCACAAACAGTCGTGGATTGAGTGACCAAACCGTTATTGTTTTTTTTGAAGGATGATTATCCCCAGAAAAGTGATCCGCCAATCGACCAACAACCAGGTTCCTATTTATTGCTTGGTAAACAGAGCCGTGTGGAGTAAGCAGACTTGCCCAACATTTCGCCCTGCCGGGAATAGAACCCAGGTCTCTCGCTTGCGAGGCGATTGCTCCAACCACTGAGCTGCAGGACTCCATTATAATAATAATAATCTTTGCATTTGATATTGCACGATGGGAGGGGAAAGGACACATTATGTTTGCCCATACAGCAGCCTACAAAGTGAGCAAGGGTTGTAAATCTGTAAATAATAATTATGCTTGCATTTGATATAGCGCCTTATTATGTCTTCGAGACGTCTCAGAGCGCTTCACAGAATATACCGTAAAGTGGAGTGACTGTGTATTTTGTGGGCTTCTTCATCCAGACTAATCTTTTGATCTTGTGACCAAGTTCAATGATGGCTTTTTGCCATGAGTGTCTTTTTCTTAAATGAAATGTGGAATATGCTTTTGATCTCTGTCGCTGAGGAAAAATTGTGGCATTCCTGAAACTGTTCCTTGTCCTAATTAACACGGTAAGAAATATTCTCGAATTTGTTCTTTACTCAATTTGAATTGGCGTAAAATCTCCTCTCTTACCTCAGCAACAAATGGACTGCTAACAATCTATTTGTGGACGTTTCGCCCACAAAATAAGGTCAATCCACTTTACAGTATGTCCTGTGAAGCATTTTGAGATGTCTCAACGACATGATAAGGTGCCATATCAAATCATAGAATCATAGAATCACCGAAGGAGGCCATTTGGCCCATTGTGTCTGTGCCGGCTCTTTGAAAAGAGCTATCCAAATGAATCCCACTCCCCCGCTCTCTCCCTATAGCACTGCAAACTTGTCCTCCCCAAATAATTATCTACTTCTCTCTTAAAAGCTGTTATCGAATCGGCTCCCACAATCCTTTCAGGCAATGCTTTCCAGATCCAAACAACTCGCTGTGTAAGAAAATTTCTCCTCACCTCCCCTCTCTTTCTTTTGACAACTATTTTAAATCGGTGTCCTCGGGTTACCGACCCACCCGCCAGTGGAAATATTTTTCTCCTTGTTCACCCTATCGAATCTCCTCATATTTCTATTAAGTCTCCTCTTAATCTTCTCTGCTCCAAAGGAGAATAATCCTCGCCTCTCCAGCCTCTCCTGATAACTGAAGTCCCTCATTCCTGGTACCATCCTGGTAAATCTCCTTTGCACCCTCTCCAATGCCTGACATCCTTCCTCAATGCAAGGATTATTATTATTATTAATGCACCCAGCACACGCCTACAATCTAGCTGCTGACAGCATGGAAAAAAACTCCAACAAAAGACAATAAAACCAATGTCCTGATATGGACCATGAGAAGCCACTCTAACTCCATATAAGGAGAGTAAACATAAAATCTGCAATTGTAATGGAGCGTGACTAAACTGACTGCTTGAAGTGAGATCCAATCCAGTTTAAGCACAGATCAAAGAGAGAGAGAAACACACAGAGACTGTAAGATGTTTTTGATCAGCCGGGTGCCGGCAAAATGTGGAAACCCATCGCCATGCTTCAGACTCAGAGTATCCAAAGCCGACTGAGATTCCCCATATTGAAAAGAGAGCAGAGTTTCTCCCCATGTCCTGATCAACAGTCCCCATATATCAACATATATGAGGTGTCAGCCAAGTTCAGTTTGGAGCATTCTTATCTGAGTCAGAAGGTTATGGGTTCCAGCCTTACATTGGGACTTTGAACTCAATCTAACCTGACACTCTAACACAGCACCGAAAGTACAGATTATCATTGAGGCGCTATCCTTTGGATGAGACTTTAAACCAAAATCCTGAAATCGAAATCTGCCTGTTCAGGTGGATGTTGAAGATCCCACGGCACTATTTGAAAAGAAAAGCAAGTTTCTCCTGGTGTCCAGACCAGCAATCAAATCCCCAAGATAAAATTGGTCGTTCACTTTACGGCTGTTTGTGGGACATTGCAGTGTACAAACACAGCAGCCAATTGCGCACAGCAGTGTCCCACAAAAGGTCATTGATTGAGTGATCAAATTATTATTATTATTTTTTTTGGAGGGATTATTACCTCTGGAAAGTGATCTGCCAATTGACTAACAACCGGGTTCCTACTTACTACCAGGTAAACAGAGGCGTGTGGAGTAAGGAAACTTGTCTAAAGTTTTGCCCTGTCTGGGAATCAAACCCAGGTCCTCTTGCTCGCAAGACAAGTGCTCTAACCAATACACTACAGGACTCCACACATGGGTCTAATGTTCTGCCCTCCACCACCTTTCCTGTTCCAATCTGATTCCCTCTGTGTAAAGCAAAACTTCCTGGTATCTGTCCTGAAATTGCCCTTTTCAACTCTAAACCTTGTTCCAATGCCATTGTACATCCTGAAGTAATGATCTGGGTTTACTTTTTCAATCCCATTTAAAACGTTATACTTTTTTTTACAATTGTAGACACCCCGATGAGGTCTCCTTTGAGTCAACGTCTCTCAAGACTGAAGAGCCCCAGCTTGTCTAGTCACTGGTCACAGCTCATTCCTCCAACACTGGAATGCTATCAGATAAGCTGGGGCTCTTCAGTCTTGGGACAGCCTCTTATGTCACGGTGGCCAGAATTATATGCAGTGCGCAAGATCCAGACTGACCAGAGCAAGTACAACCTGAATATGATGTCTGAGGATCTAAACTTAACTGATTTAACAATATAGCCCAGCATCCTGTTTGCCTTGTTTATTGCTGCCTGACATTGTTTTGACGCAGTGAGCGATAAATCAACTAACACCCCTAGATCTCTTTCTGCTTCCCCCTTGACAAGTTCAATCCCACTCATGGAGTGCTTATGTCTCTTATCCTTGGATCCTATATGTAGTACCTTGCAGTTAACAATATTAAACTTAATTTGCCAGTTAATCAGCCCGGACACAAACCGTAGTGTATGTTAAAAATCATGCCTTCTTCCTTCCTGCGTTTAGGATGTTCATTCTTGTGTACTTCCTTCCCAGATGCTTTGCTTTTCCTATTATAATATGTGGTTTAAGTGAAGATGGTGAGTGATAGAAGGAGCTTTTAAAAAGTGGCCCGGGGATGAGGGTGGTGGGGAGGGGGGTGAGAGTGGAGGGGGGAAAGATGAGGTTGGGAGGGGGGGAGGGGTGTCAGAAAATGGGAATGTTTTTAAATTGGTAGAAACATGGATTTGATTACTTACACAATCTCAAAAATATTGTGTCTAAAAATTGCTGTCAATTTTCTCAGCTTTCCTTGATGCATTGTTCCCTGTCGTGTTACGTTGTTCCACAAGCGCCAATCAACCACTGATACCTCACCCAATTTGTGTTTGAGCCCTGACAGGTTATTCGCCATATATATAAATGACTTGGATGAAGGAATAGAAAGTTTTATATCCCAGTTTGCAGATGACACTAATCTAGGAGGCTCAATAAGTTATGTAGATGGGAGTAGGAAGTTACAAAGATTAAGTGAAGTGAGTGGGAAAAACTGTGGCAGATGGAGTTCAATGTAGGGAAGTGTGAGGTCATCCACTATGGACCGAAAAAAGATAAAGCAGAATATTTTCTTAACGGGGAGAAATTAACAACTATGGAGGAGCAAAGACATTTGGGTGTCCATATCCACAAATCATTAAAACTAGTTCCCAGGTGCAAAAAGTAATCAAAAAAGGTGAATGGTATGTTGGCCTTTATCTCAAGGGCCTGGAATACAAAGGGGAAGAAATGATGCTTCGGCTGTATAGAGCGTTAGTCAGACCCCATCTGGAGACTGCGTTCAGTTTTGGGGACCACATCTCAGGAAAGATATATTGGCCCCGGAGGGGGTGCAGCACAGTTTACCAGAATGTTACCAGGTCTAAAAGGGTTAAGCTATGAGGAAAGACTGCGGAAACTTGGATTGTATTCCCTTGAGTTTAGAAGGTTGAGGGGTGATTTGATTGAGGTATTTAAGATGATGAAGGGATTTGATAGAGTAGATACAGAGAAGCTATTTCCTCTGGTGGAGAAATCCAAAACAAGTGGCATAGACTTAAAATTAGAATAAGGCCATTTAAGAGTGAAATCAGGAGCATTTCTTCACTAAAAAAAAGTGGTAGAAATCTGGAATTCTCTCCCCCAAAAGGCCGTTGATGCTGGATCCATCCACACCTTCAAGAGTGAGGTTGATAGATTGTTGGTAGGTTAGAGGATTAAGGGATATGGGGAGAAAGTGGGAACTTGAATTGAAAGAATTAGTTGAGGTACAGATCAGCCATGATCTCATTAAATGGCGGAACAAGCTTGAAGGGCTGAATGGCCTCCTCCTGAATGTTCC